GGATGCTATGGTAAAATTTTCAGCTCGATACTCTGACGTTTGACAGAGATATGAATTAAACAAGGGTCGAAAAATAGCTCACCTCATCTCCAAAAATTCTCTGTGGGCCCTCATTATATATATATTTTTTTGTTTTGTTTGAAAGCTTGTCTCTAGGGCTAGGTACCCTAGCGGTCCTTTTTTTAAAAAGTCTCACCTTTTAAGCAAAAAAAGGGATGACAAGTTAGATGACTCAAAAAAACCCTAAAAAATGGTGTTGTTTCCATAAAGATGCTTAAATGATAATAAAAAAGCTTATTTTAAAAAAAGGGCCACGAGGGTATCTAGCCCTAAATACGAGCTTTCAAACAAAAAAAAATATTTGACATTATATTGTAATGGGGTAGAAGGGCGTTGGAGATACTCCGTCGAATCCATGTTCTGAGAAAAAATGCCTGATCATGTATGATAAATACTCCTATGACAGGTTCCTGAACGTGTCTAGGGACTTTTCATATCGGCCAACCAAATAAATCCCTGAACTTGTCAGTTTTCTTGCCAAACAAATGAAGAGTAAACCAAGATAGAATTGTAATTGCTATTAGTTTTAAATATTTCTTTGTTTATTCTTGTCTATACCCATTGTTTACTTATCAGTCAGGTCAAGATGAATCATTGTATAGAGCGGTGGTAAATAACACTGATGTATTCAGTTTCTAGTAATGCCAATAGACACGAATGTCAAGGCCCTGGGTTCGAATCCTAGTCTGGTCACACATTTTTCCTTTACACGGTCATTATGATTCTAAAAGATCATAAGATGAAAAGAGGTAAGGCAAAAAAGAGAAAACGAAATGAGTACAGCATTAAGTGTACCAGACTTAACAATCACAAACAGCAAATTTGTTTAATTATTTGTTGAAAGATTTATACTTGTCAACTCGTAAAGATATTTTCAGATGTTCCTGTTAATATCAAAGTGAGACGTCTTTTTCTATCAGACCATGGTCCGAAGACAAAGCTGCAAAATCATGACATGGGAAAAAGTCCATTTGAAACGGATCTCAATAAAAAATAAAAGTCACACGTTTGATGAAGCCAAGCCGTGACATTGGTGGCCTGTACCTTGAAAACCCGATGGTACCTGTTTTTGAAAAATAGTTCGCCACGATGTCAAACATTTTCTCTGTCAGATGAGACAAAAAGTAGAGATGGACACTCTCTAACTCATTTCCATTTAACTAGTTGAGAGATTTTGCATTAAACTCATAATGATTGATGTTTTCTTCAGGTAGCAGAGTAGATCAACATTTAGAGTAAACGATAAGATTCGTTCTTCTTTATTTCGCTCTTTAGACAAAAAACATATAATTCAACTTTATATAAGTTAGATTATGCAACTGATAATCGAAACGAAAGTTTTTTCCATTCTGTACATATCAGCTTTTTCTGCTGTTTAAGCGAGAAAAAGAGAAAAGAAGGATGTTCATTTATATCTATGTCAGCGTCCAAATACCGATCCAGGCCAATCTCAGATTGGTCTAGGCGAAAGTTTAATCCGAGTTTGAACTAGTCGAAGTTCTCATCCTAGTTTGACCTGCTAGTTTAATAGCCCAAATCCCGATCGGCCTTTCGACTAGGCCAACGTTGAAGGTAAGATAAATTCTTAGTCCTATATCAGATTGAACTAGACCAAATTGAGATTGAGAATTTTCTAAGGTCAAACTTAGACTGGACTAGGGCAAAACAGATGTTAATATCAATTCTACCTTAATTACAATTAATCAACGATTAGTGTTTGAAAATTCAGTACACATAAAGAAACGTGCACAGCAATCGAAAGATTATGTTTCTTGGTTTTGATAGCTTGTCGTATGTTTATGGCATTTTGTTGAGCAAAACACTTTATTTTTCTGCACGCACATTGGTTGTTTTTACAACCACTCTCGAATGAATACGTTATACCATTAACGGTACCACAAACAAAAAGTTTGGATGTTGTTGTTGATGCTATTCTTTCAAACCACTATTTTTAAATCAACTAATTCTTGTGATACTGCTCATAACTATGTCACTACCATCATCTGCTGTTTGATTCTACGAGACTGAATTTCGTCACTAATTTTATTATTTTCCATTGTAGAAGGCAGTAAGGAGTTTTGTTTATTTACTAGAGAGTTTGCTCAGTATAATAAATTTTGTGTTATGTCAGTGCAGTATCGAAACACCACTATTTATAACATCTGCTTTGGCCTAATCTAGTCTAAGTTTGACCTTAGAAAATTCTCAATCTTAGTTTGGTCTAGTTCAATCTGATATTGGACTAAGAATTTATCTTACCTTTAACGTTGGCCTAGTCGAAAGGCCGATCGGGATTCGGACTATTAAACTAGCAGGTCAAACTAGGATGAGAACTTCGACTAGTTCAAACTCGGATTAAACTTTCGCCTAGGCCAATCTGAGATTGGCCTGAATCGGAGTTTAGAGGTCGGTTGGTACTTGGGCAGGGAAACTTTTTTCCATTTTGGACACTTGTGACATCTATAACTTAGAAATCCTACGTTGTACAATGTTGATGCCAGCAGACTGTTTTCTTATCTCATGGAGATCCATAACTGCTTAGAGTTTCAGATCTGTACGCCATGCTATTCTCCAGATACCCGAAAAACTTACGGGGTGCCCCTAAAGGAGTTGTGAATTGAAGATGAACTTTACTTGTTTCATAAAACAAAAGAAGTGTAGCACTTCTGAGTCTTTCTAGAATGGATCATGACTGTTGTGTTTTCCGTACTTTTTGTCGTTTATTTATTTCCATTGTTCACTTCTATAGTTCCACGAATTCACCTGTGTGAGAAGTTTGTCTTCGAAACTTAGATAGAAGCGACGCAACTTATTCAGTTGCTCATCATTGTTTTTAGCAAAACCAACGGAGTGAGCGAGATAGATTAACGGACCTAACTTAATAACAGACTTAACATTTTCATGCTGAAACCTGTCGATCTGTTGCCAGCCGACTTGCTTTAAATAAGCAGTCGCAGATCGTGCTTCAACAACGCTTATTGAAAGTGCAGTGGTGTCCCATTTTGAGGATAATTTTTCTTTTAATCTATCGTAGATAATCTCGTTTAACATGGGAAACGGACGGGCTGATATTGATTTAATTCTCGTCTCAATAGGACAAACTACTTTTCTATAGTTATTATCTATCCACGGTGGAAATAAATAATTGCATGAACATGGTAAAACCAAGCTGTAGCTTCTGAGCGGCACTGGTGTGTTTTGAAGATTGTCAGATATAAGTAAGTTAATTAGGTTTTGGTCGGCTGAGTGAGACCATTTTGCTTCGGATCGATGTCGTTTATCCCATTCAATGTAATTATACTGTAGTGTTTGTTCCCAAATTCTGTGCCGGCGATAGCCTAGACAGTCAAATAACATGACTCCGCTGTTCAAAGTTCCTTGAACCATATGTGGCCAGATGGCAATGATTGGCTGTTCATGGTGATGATCAGGTGCTAAGGCCAATACTGGACGAGGAGGTAGCATAGTATAATTAAACCGGGTTTTTCTTATCTCATCAACGTCAAATATAGTTTTGCTTTTCTTGTTTACAGCAATAGGTATCTCTGGAATACTATCTAATACACGTTTATCAATGCTTTGTCTTTCGTCGTACTCAGCTAGTTGAAATTGTTGTATGTATTGATAAAAACAGTCCACATAGTAGCGTAAAGATCCATCAAGTAGTACTGTATCCGTATCAACAACCATAACATACCGTATATCATGCGGCAATATATGCGGCAATGCTAATTTGCATATAGATCCCGTAAAACGAGCTATAACGATCCAGTCTTCGTAAGGTTCAGTATAAGGACGACATAGTGAATAATCGTAAAGTGTCAGTCTGAAATGCACAGGACTTATATTCCAACTGGATATCACCGATTTTAATCTATTTTGTGCATCTGAAGTCGTAACAATGTGCCAATGTAACGCAAATTTTCTTAAGTGCAGATAGTTCTTGATTACGCCGATCATTTCATCTGTATTATTTCCATCGCTCGCAAAGCCAATTGCAAACCATTCCGGGATCAAGTTAAAGGTTGAATCTAATATTTCAGAGTTGTATATGTTAGCAACATTCGGCAGTCTTGCAAACAGCGGGTCAACAACAGCATCATTACTGTTACTTTGATCCGTATCATATGTTATATTTCTATAGCAATAATAAGAAACACCCGTAAACAATACGATGAGCGATACTATGGCCGTTTTCTTATTGCGAACGTACATAAATCTGGCTGGCAAGAGCGAAAGCTTTTATAATTTCGTTAGCTCAACTCCGTTAACGATCGTTCCACTACGCGCGCTATTCATACTCATTGCACACAATAGCTGCATTCTGAATCATCTGAAGTATATCTGAAACAAGTAAAAATAACGAATTTATCCCTACATTGAAAGTCAAGGATAGTGCGATAAAAAATATCAATTACTGTCTGTTAACCAGCTTACGATCCGATACCGAGTCCGCAAAAATGCAAGTCAAACAATATTTGAACTTTCTCAGACGTTTTCTATTACGAACGTTAACATTTTTCTCTGGCTGTGCAAATCACGTGAAATATACCGTGTTGAACCCAAACTAGAGTTGTGCAGGGTAAATGTTTCTGGAATCCTGGTCCTACTGTTTCAGAAAAAAATCCATTTCAACAGCGTAAATTTCACGTACTCACACTCGTGATTTTGTCGTAAGTATTTGTGAGTGAACCCTTTTCGTTCAATATGAATGACTATTTTTTTCGTCATCCACTGTTGCAGTTTTACTTGCGTTTCTTTTCCCCTCGGGCACATTCAAAGGTGGACTACCATTACCACGCACTCCACTCCAGTATTAAGTATCCGTAGACTCCGTGAACAAAAATTTCAGAATCGACCAAAACACTTTGTCTCGGCTGACCCAGTTTCATGAATGAAATATGGTATTGCACGATATTGGATCGAGTTGAGAATGGCGGACATTTTTTCACTGTTAACCATTGATCTCTGTCAATATTTAATCTTTATGTCCGTCATTTTGACCAAAAGTAAAATTATTGTAGATCAGAAACGACGGGCGTCTCCACGATCAATTTGGTTTTATTCTGTTCAAAATTGTGTTGTCTATAGAGAGACATATAAACTATCCCCACGGCTTACTTTGCGGTGAGGAATGACGGTGACAAGTCACAGTGAGCATACAGTGGCAGCAAAAATCATTTGTACGATCAGTGTTTTGCTCATAATTCTGTGACCAAAATTTTTTCGAAAAAGGTATTCTAACTCTTTCCAATGATTTTAATAAGGTTAAAAGAATTTCTTTTTATCGTACAAATAATTTGTGCAGAAAAAGAATCTTTTGGCAAAACAATTTTTTCAAAAATCCTTTTCCTATCCACACATTACTTTCTAATATTGAGTTGAATATATATTTTTGTTCGCGGAGTCTACGGATACTTAATACTGGAGTGGAGTGCGTGGTAATGGTAGTCCACCTTTGAATGTGCCCGAGGGGAAAAGAAACGCAAGTAAAACTGCAACAGTGGATGACGAAAAAAATAGTGATTCATATTGAACGTTCATAGTGATTCACTCACGAATACTTACGACAAAATCATGAGTGTGAGTACGTGAAATTCACGCTCTTGAAATGGAATTTTTTCTCACTCACGAAGTATTTCAGACATGTACACGACGTGATTATATTGTGCGTTTTCACGCGTTTTACGTGAAATAATCACGAAAAAGTATGCGACAAAGTGATCTGTTTTTGCGAAAAGTTATATGGGTGGATTCGTAAGACTCTTCTGAGTATTTATGTATAAAATTGTGAAGGTTTCATTCAACTTCGTCAGCCAGAAAGCTTTACTTTCAAGTTCGTGTGCAGATCGCCATGTATCTTAATGGACGTGATCTATTTAGGAATGAAAAACATAGTGTGTGATGTAATCTAGAAAGGACAGGAACGTAAAAAGTCAGACATA